ACCAACTTTATCCAAACAGTTGTGTTGATTGTTGTGGCCAATTTTGGAATTGGTTCAGAGGAGATGGTTCCATGCGTCTGGTCCTGTAGTGACATGCCCCCTAGCTGCTGACAATTGTCAGCTGAATTGTCTTGTCAGTGTTGGGATGGGCCTTACCCTGATGGTGACTATGTGGATTTTTTTTTTTCTTTCTTATGGCTCTCCTAGCCCTCCTTACCTGTGGGCCACATTTATCTCTGCTGAGTTTCTGATATGGCTGTAACAGGTCTTCCTGCTCTATTCTCTTCACTGAATTGATTTTTTTTTTTGGTGGAACTGGGGTTTGAATTCAGGGCTTCTCGCTTGCAAAGCAGGTGCTCTACCACTTGAGCCATACTTCTAGTCCATTTTGGTCTGCTTATTTTGCAGATGAGGGGTTTCCACAAACTTTTAAAGCTCATGCTGGCTTCTAACTGTGATCCTTCCCATTTCAGCCTCTCAAGTAGGTAGGAATATAGGAATGAGTCATCGGTGCCTGGCTAAAGTGATCTTTTTATAACTTGAATCTGATTATTTGATTGCCTGTTTAATACTTATCTGTGCTTCCCTATTGGCTTCTAGATACAATCTAAGTCCATTAACTATGGCCCCTGCTTTCTCTCTGGACCATATTAAGGCAACTCCACTAATATCCATGCTGCACTGTCAGCCTATTCTGTCTATATGTAGCCCAAGAGAGCTGCTTTCAGAGATGGCCATTTTATCTGCAAGGGCCATTCCTTTCACTTGCCTTGCCCTGCATGTCCTATGGCATTTTTCTCAAACTTGAGGATGCTTTGAATCATCTAGATGGCTTGTTAAATCACAGAATCCCAGGCCCCACTCTCAGGATTCCTGATTCACTAGGGAGCTGGGGTTTGGAATTTGGTGTGAGCATTTGGGAAAGTTGTGCAGTCCATCAAGTGCTCAGACTGACTTTTAATCTTCCTTTTTTTCTTTCTTTATATTGTTTGCTTATTATTAGAATAAGGGATCTCTGAAAATACAGACAGATGCAACCCAGTTAAAAACTACTAATAATTGGTTCTGTTTTATTTTTATTTTTTTTGGTAGCACTAGGATTTACTCAGGGCCTCATGCTTGCTAGGCAGGCGCTCTTACCACTTGAGCTACTGCACCAACCCTGAAAATTGGTTCTATGCATGCCCAGATATATCCCAGTCACAGGGTAATTTTGACTTAAGGGTAATAATGAATTTAATTTGGGGGCTAAGTGTATATAAGGTTTCAGGACCTCACAGTGAATAGGTTTATTAGGCTGATGGACACGTGTATTTTCATTCACTCATTCATTCATTCATTCTCTCTCTGTTTCTCCCTCCCCCCTCCCTACCTCTCTTGTTGATGTGGAAAACAGAAGGAACTTCAGTAAAATTTTTAGTCTTATTAAAAAATTAAAGTAATCCACTTAGGCATGAATTAAGGCAAGTAAGATCTATAGAATGACATAAAGATTTAGGAAACAATTTATTTTGTTAATGGGTTTAGTATTTAAGATTAGAGTCATTAGGTAAAATAGGCACATGAATTATCAATCTGTTTTAATAATTTTAAGACAGTTGACGTGTTCCCAAAACAGACTGATATGAAGAAATGGATATATCAGTCCATGTTTAGAGAATAATGATGTCCAATAAAAATAAAATACTTTTCTAATATCAACATAAGAACCTCATTCCACCTTAGCTTGAATTAGTAAAATATTAACCTGATAGAAACTTTATGAAATTGATGAGTCGGAGTTATTGTTGATGGATTTTTTCAAATGTCTGATTTTGTCTTTTTCAAAATAAAATTTTCTTACAGATAATATCAGTTATAATACTCTTTTTTTAAATTTTGTTTTTATTGTTGATTGGAGATACAGTGTGACATTTACAAAAGTACTTATAATATATCTTAGTTAAATTTACCCTCCCATCATCCTCCTTTATCCCCCTCCTTCCTTCTTAGAATAGTTTCATCAGGTCTCATTTTTCCACTTTCATACATGAGTACATAATATTTCTACCATATTTACCCTCCTACACCCTTTCCTTATATCCTCCCTTCCCACTGGTACCAGACCCCAGACAGGACCTGTTTTACCTTCCTGTTCTCTGTTTTTGTAAAAAGACATTGTTTGTTTAAGATAGCTATGCAGGGAGTTTCATTGTGACATTTCCATGTATGCATGTATTATATTCCAAATTGGTTCATCCCCTCCATTTTCCCCCTTTCTACCTCAGTCCTCTTCTTATGGCTATTTTAATAGGTTTAAAAATTCTGTGTTCATTCCTGTATAGAAAGTACGTCAACCATATTCACCTTCTTTTCCTCCTTTTACCCTCCCCCTCCTATTGGTACTCTCCCCTTAATGTGACCTGTTTTTCATTCTTGTCCTTCGTTGGTTAGGTGTCTGTTCATTGTCCAGTGCAATTTTTGCCTTGATATTAGACATGTACATGAATTGTACTTAAGTCAGTATAACCCCCCTCTACTGTACTTCCTCACTAATATGTCTGAGAGATGGAGAAAGTTCTGGTAAATAATTCAACAAATTTAAAGTATATGTTTGTTTTGTTCAATGTCTGTCTTTTAACCAAAATATAAACATGTTAAATGTTAACTCATTTGCTTTCAAACAACTCAAACTCATAAGCCTTCAAATAACTGTCATAAGCAAGAACAATTATTCCCATTTTAAAGATTTTAAAATGGTGGCACAGAGTGCTTAAATAACTTTTCTAAGGTCTCTTTAGCTACTCAGTAGCATTACTGGGATCTGAAATCGTGCTCTAGAGTCTGGACTTTTACCATTATGTTGCTCCTTCCTCAACATAATAAAGTAAAGATATTCAGAAAAAATTAAATGTGCAAATCTGTATTTCAGAGTAAAATTTAAAAGGTATTTATTTGGTAGTAATCAGCATATGAAAGGTATTTGAGCCCAGTGGGAAGTATGATATCATTACAAATAATATATAAAATGAACTGAGTACAGGGTATTAGAACTGTGAATACTCAAGGTTTGTGCTGAGCAATGTGAACTGTTACTGATGTTGTTTTCTTTATTTGACTTAATGGCAACATTTAATACTTCTGTATATTTCCTTTTTGAAATGTTACATTTTGTTCCATTTTATAACTGAAAAGAGTTAACAAAGAAATAAAAAAAGAGAACAAGTTCATGAAAATAATATAATAGAAACAAAAAAATTCTGATTATGATATACTGGGTGTGGTGGCACATGTCTATAATCCTGGCACTGGGGAGTCTGAGGCTGGATGATCTGGAGTTCAAGGACAGCTTGGGCTACATAGTAAGATATTGTCTCAAAAATATCCTGATATACAGGAACCTGACTTTGAATAATAGGTTCAAAAAGAGAGACGGCTGCAGGGGTTCACTGACACATGGAAAAGCCCCTAAAGATGTCTGGAAAAGGATAATAAATACCTGCTATGCCTACCTCTCAAAAGTCTTAAGATACTCAGATGGGTTAAGGGTGTGTGAAATGCTTTATAAATGTCAAAGCACTCTGAATTTAAGATATTAACCAGTGCGACAGTGAATTCCTAGACACTCAAAAATGGTTTGACTTAAGTTTAGTAGAAACCCATCTAGATGAAAGTGATATATTGATTACTAATGACTGACAGCCACATAGCCCTCAGTTTATTTATGTTACCTGCCTTCTGCCCATCCTAAAGGACACAGATTCTTTCCTTTTTGAGGAACAGTGTCTTTGCTGGGTGCATCCTCACTTTGTACTTCTGGGAATATCCATTGTACTAGCAGTGTTCATTCCCCAAAGACTCTTAGTCAAAGGTTTCAGATGTCAAAGTGATGGATATTTTATTCCAAAGATGGTATCTCCAGGTTATAGCACAGCTCAGAATTTTGTACAGTCTCCTTTCTTTTCCAAATATTGCCAAGGGAGACATTTCTAGGAAGCATTACTTTCTCGAATGGTGTGTTTATTCGGGGAGAGCTGGGGGTAGGGAAGAGATTGTTGGCTGTATTTTCTGGAGGTGGTGAGTAGAATACCCTCCCAATGATTAATTCCTTGATACTATTCAAAAGAAGGAAACTTGATGGCTCCTTAGCAGTAGTACCCTTTCTTTCCTAGTGTCCTTCTGTCCTAAAGCCCACACTGCTTGTATTCACCTCTTGGTTCCATGAAAATCACCCTTGGCAATAGCACCATGATCTTAGGACAGATAGGAGGGATGGAATAAATGCTGGCTCCTTCTCCCTGCAGCACTACTTTGTTTTGTTTCTTCAAACCTAACATAGCTTTTGCTTTCTCCTTTCTGCCTCTGGTTTTCCAGGCTCTTAAAATCTTCAAATTTGACATGCTCGCCCTCTAGTGGCAGGTCTGATGCACCCGTTTCCTTGTTTGCTGAGGTACCATAATGGTTCTCACCACTTAGCTTTATTACTAAGAATTATCCCTGTCTCCCACATGTGGAAGGACAGGGACAGTGACCTTGACTTTCCACTCAAGTAGGGTCTGGGACGTTGGTTTTGAGTCAGAGCTTTTGACTCTGGATTTATATAGTGTGAATATAACAGGAAAAAATATTGTGTGATTCTAGCTGTTCTAGGGGATTTTGTTCATGGTTTAAAAAGAATCCAGATTGTTTAATCTCCACTCAGCTAATATGAAAGGACCGAAATGTGGTGAGTAGTTGCAGATAAGGACAATTGTTTTACCCTTCCTTTATCACTTTGGAAAATCTTTGGCACTCATCAAGAGTTTAATATTTCATGCTCAGTCCTGTTAACAACTTTGAGGAATACAAAAATGTATAAAGTTTGATGTCTACTCTTTATACTACATTCCAGTTATGAGGCAAATTTATTCCCTTCAAGAAAAAATTAAGAATAACACATAGTAACTTTTACTGGTGTTTAAGTTTTATACTTGGTCTCACTAAAGACAGGTTTTCTGAGCATTTCCTTTTTATTTTGTAAGTCCTTTTCAGTGGAGAGGGAACTGCAGGATAACAGTAATTACCCAGATGAACCGTGGAGGATAACAGAAGAACAACGGGAATACTATGTCAATCAGTTCCGATCTCTTCAGCCGGACCCGAGTTCCTTCATTTCAGGTAAGAACATGGTGTTCTCAGACATTGTTCTCACATGAATAATGATAAGCATCTTGAGAAATAGTTTACAAAATTTGAATCCAGCAATCTTCTGTGATTGCAATTTGTTTTCATCTAAGATAGAATTTCTTATCAAGTATAAGTCATGCAGAAAAAAGTTGGTAATAGCATTGGGAAATCATATTTCTGTTTCAGGGGGGTTAAATGCGAATTTGGGGAATCTGGTCTAGACCCGGCACCTTACTAGCCAAAGCAGTTCTTGAAATGGTAGATTGTAGCACCAAGGGGACACCTTAAGTTGGTTACTTATTATATTAGAGTCAGCAAAGACAGAGCATAGGCTTCCAACACAAGTCTCCTTATGTTTTATATGCCCTGGAAGTTCAAACTCATGCTCATTTACTCTAGCTCAAGTCTTTCTCCTCTGGTTTTTCTGAGAGAAATTAAGATATGGGAAGAAAATTGGCCAGCATTTCCCCACATGTCAGTTCTTCTGGGTTGTCTTCAGATATATGTATTCCTGTTGAGTTCTCATGTAAAATTCAAGCTGAGAGGAATTGAATTCTTGTGTGCCTATATTTTACCAGGCCAAAGACTAAATAAAAAGTGAAATAGTAGAGTCTGGAAGAAAAATTCACAAAACTTTGTTTTTATTACTTCACTTTTGAAGTATGTGTTCTTGATAATTCTAACCTGACATAGTGACGTGTGGACCGAGACTAGTTTTCTTCCATGAAATAAGGTGTGTAATTGAGATATACCTGTATAGATAAATGAAAACATCATTTTGCTAATTAGTGGTAATGGCTTTCTGGAAGGCAAAATAGCATAGATGCAACAAATTAATGTTACGATTATGATTTAGAAAAAATAAATAGAAACCCAGATTATGTATATTGACTGCTTGCTAACCTCACCCCTGCCCAAGTGTGTTTCTTCACAACATATGCAGATATTTAGCCAAATACAAATAGGTACTTGTTAGAAATATTTTTACTTTAATTGCTTTATTTTTCAGAATTTCAAATGTAGCTACATCTAGGCTGGCTAGTATAACAAACTCCTATGTACAAGAACCAGTGATTTTGTTTTATCTGTATTCCCTCTCAGCCCAGATGATTTCTATGTACAATTGCCAGACCATTCATTTGAAAAATATTTCAGGATGTATCTCAAGATAAGTTCTCGTTTAAGAAAACATACCCACAACTTATTGTACTTGTGAAAAAAAATCAGATTCCTTAATATTACCAAGGCTTCATTGTTCAAATGTCCCTGATTGTTTCATAAATCCCCTTTAAAAAGTTTAGTTTGGTCACAATGAAGAGAGGTTCATATATTGCAATTAGCTGATGTCTGTTTTTAGAAAGAACTTTATCAAAATAGAATTCATATATCATAAAATTTAGCCATTGAGAGTGTGTTTCAATGATTATGGTGCATTCACAGACTATATTCACTATCTTAAATTTGGAACATTTTCATCATCCCCCCAGTAAACCACCTACTTATTAGCAGTTATTCCCCATTAGTGCCCTCTCCTAGTCCTTGGTAACCAAGAATCTTCTCTCTCTCTCTCTCTCTGTCTCTCTCTGTTCTGGCCTTTTTATATAAATGCAGTCTCTCTTTATGATAGATTGGCGGTGGGTCTGGGATGAGAGTTCCCGCACCTTGGTTTGTACTTACTACTCAGGCTTTCTGCTCAACAACTTCTTTCAGCTGGTGGCAGCCAGGCACAAATGAACTTGTAAGCTGTTGACTTCCCTATGAACTCCATCTGACTTCTCTAGGATGCCATGGTACAACAGTCTACTGTCTGAAGGGCAGGCCAGGCCAAGTCTTGGGTTTGGGTCTGGTGTACTTTGAAGAAAGGAGATCCAGGGGGAAATAAGAATATCTTTATATCTTTATATGTATAAAGTAGCTGGTAAATAGGCTTATAAGACAGTTTTAACAGATGTTGGACCAGGTGGTTGGATTGATGGCCATGTGTCAGCATTATTTCCAGGATGCTTTTGGGGAGAAGGCTCATTGATTTATAGATACTTTGCCTTTGATCCTTAGTAATCTATCAAAGGAAAATAAGTCTTTCTTTAGTGTCCATTATAATCTACTTTTTGGCAGTATGGGGGGTTTGAATTCAGAACCTCAGCTAGGCAAGTACTCTACCAGTTGAGGTACTCCACTACCCTCTTCTGCTTATTTTTCAGATAGGGTCTCATGCTTTTTGCCTGGGCCAGCCTCAGACCTCAATCCTTCTACCTACATCTCCTGAATAGTGGGATCACAGGCACATGCCACTGTGTGGTGGTTGAGATGATAGAGTCTTGCTAACTTTTTACTTGGGCTGGACTTGAACCTCGATCCTCCCAAATTCCACCTCTTGAATAGCTGGGATTATAGGTGTGAGCCACTATGCCCTGCTTATAATCCATTTTTAAGGGTAGTTAGAAGACTTGTGATTGCCATGGAAAACTTTTGAGTTAACTAATTTAGAACAGAGATTGGGGCTTTGATTTAATTATTCTTGTGTTAGAAGCGAGGCTTTTGAACTGTGAAACTGTTGAGAGCTGGAAGCATAAAAAAATTCAGCCTCAATGAGGGCTAACATTTCAAGTGCTAATGAGACTTATAGTTATGTAATATGTACAATGGAATGATTGCCTGATTTCAATTGATATAGGTGAATTTACAATGATTAAAGAAAGATCCCTCAACAGATTGCTCAAAGAGCCACCAAAATATCTTAAATCTCACCAAAAATATTTCCCAAGATGTCTTTTATCTCTGGTGGGATTAATGGCATTAGCTGTTTTCTTTTTGCTCAGTTTTTCTACCATGACCTTGTACTACTTTTCCTTGACAAGTTTTTGCTTAAGTAATTTTGAAATTTTTTTGTAAAATTTTGCAGAGGTTTGATATAACAGAAAAGGGAATTTATAAGACTTGTATCTGTCATTAGGATTATGACACAGCTTCTTATGCAGTATTCTAATCTACATATTTTAAAAAGCTATTCATATGTTGCTTTTATTTTATTTATTTACTTTTTTGTGGTGGTAGGAATCAAACCTACTGCATTGCGGGTGCTAGGCAAACCATATGTTGCTTTTGGTCCTGTGATTTGTAGTTGTTTTGAGGAATAAATGTGTTTGTAATCATATGGTAGAGATTGCTGAATGAAAAATGGTGACGTACTTGCATATAAACATAAAAGCTGTTCTAGATAAGTAATTAATGGTGTATTTAAACAATGGCTCTTAACAGGGTCTGTGGCCAAGAACTTCTTCACCAAATCAAAGCTTTCCATTCCAGAGCTCTCTTATATATGGTAAGTACAATTAATGCCAACTAGTATCACAGTATCCTACATACTCATCCTTTAGCATTTTTGAAGTCTTTTTTTTCAGTGATTTTTTTCAATAGACTAAGAGAATAACTAGAACTCAGATTTATGTTGCTGTGAAGATGAAATAAGTTATCATATGAAAAGCACAATGAATGGTACTGGCACATCTATGTACCATATGTGTTAACTACTAGTTTAAAAGTAATTTCCTAATTGTTGTTCCCTGTGCAATCCTTTTTCAGTTTAGGCAGCTGTGGACATGTGAGATATTCTGTCTTACATATTTTACTTTCAGCCTTTTCTTCTTGATGGGAGGCAAGTAACCAGAGGACCTGGAAAAGTTATTCTTTATAATATTTTATAAGGCAGGGTGAACAGAAGGCTCAAGAACATTTTGGAAAGAAGTTAAATTTGACTATTCTAGCTGCTTCTGAACTGTGTGAATTTGGCCCATGTTTCTCAGCTGGGCCCTAATTCAGCCTTGCAGCTGCAGCATCTACCGTACCATGCTGCCTAGGCTGCTGTGACTCTAGTTCCAGAAGGGCCATGCTGGAATGGTCCAGATGGCTCTGTTTGCATCTGTGAAAATGCTTGGTGCCATAAACTCTGGGCTGCATGTGGCTTAGTTCTTCCCAAGGACCAAGCCGGAGATTGTGCTATTATAAATATATAATAAAAATATTGGAATATTTATGTTAAGTTTTTTTCATGAGGAGTTATAAAAATTAGGATTTACAATTCCATGTTATGTATTATGCATCTTATTGAACAACTTTCAATAATACTTGTGCATGCCAATGTATACGAGATTCTGAACTTTTTTTTTTTTAAGTAACAAGCCTTATATTAGATTTTAAAGCTAGGGAAAAAGAAACAATCATTTTTGAAAGAATACAAGCTGTTTTGGCAGAATTCCCAGCTATAATATTTTCATCATGAGGCTTCCTTATCTTTTTGTCAAGATGCAGCCATGAAGGCTGAGTAACATTCTCTCTAACATTTGAAGCAGTTCCCGGACTGTTCATCCTGGAGAGCAGCTGTTTCAGGGCTGTTCCATTCTGAATTGGAAGAACAAGAGGAGGAGGTAGAGGAGTTGACTGGTCCAAAGTACAGTTATGGAGCTTGCCTTAGAAACAGTTTTCTTTCTAATAACAATATCTTTCTAGTACAATCTTTTGTAAGTCTTTTTTTTTGGGGGGGATGCTGGTATTCGAGTTTGAACTCAGGGCCCCATGCTTGCTAGGCAGGCACTCTACACTTGAGCCAGCCCTTGTGTAAGTCTTATTGCTATACTTGCCTAATACAAGCATACTTGTATCTGATATCTCACAGATGGTAGACCTTACAGGGTCTTAGTTCCTTTGGCAAATAGGTCTCTATTGTACTGAGTGAATAGGTCTGTGACTTTTAGTGGGAAACAGTGACTAAAGTGAGGATAAGCCTTTTTCTTTTTAAAATTATCATATTATTGTTGTACTGTGGGAACATTGTGACATTTACAAAAATGCTTACAATGTATTTTAGTTAAATTAATCTCTACCATCATTTGAAGATAAGCCTTTTTAAGACTCTCCCTTTCTTATTTTTTGTCTTATCTGCTTACAGTTTTCTCTGGGTACTAGCTTTAGCTTAAAATATAATTTAATCAGTATTTATTGAACTTATTTCTATTTTTCCAAGAAGGAATTCTTGAGAAGAGGATAGTTTGCTACAGTGTTTCTTCTCTTTATTAGCATATATTAATTGTACAAAGTGATTTCATTGTGATATTTCCATACATGCATATAATATACTTTGATCAAATCATCCCTTCTGTGAGAGATTTTTTTAATCTTTTTTATCTATCCTCCTCACTTTTAAATTTTTTAATGGGTTTCATTATTTTATTTCCATATATACATATGAAGTACTTTGATCATATTCACCCCCCTTTCACTTGCCTCCTCCTGCTGGTTCCCAACCCCAAACAGTCCCCACCATTTTACACTCATGTAATTCATTTATTCCATCTAGATTCCATGTATGAGAGAGAATGTGTGATATTTGTCTTTCTCAGTCTGATTTATTTCACTTAACATGATGATCTCCAGTTCCATCTGTTTTCCTGCAAACTACATGATTTTGTTCTTCTTTATGACTGAATAATAATCCATTGTATGTGTATACACATATATTGTGTGTGTATATATATATATATATATATATATATATATATATATATAAAATATATATATTTCACACTGTCTTTATCCATTCATCAGTTGATGGTCACCTAAGCCAATTTCATATTTTAGCTATTATGAATCGTGCTGCTTTAAACATGGGTATACAGATACCTCTATTATATGCTGATTTACAGTCCTTTGGATATATGCCCAGCACTAGTATAGCAGGATCATGTGGTAATTTTGCTTTTAGTTTTTTGATGAACATCAATACTAATTTCCATAGTGGATGCACTAATTTACATTCCCACCAACAGTGTTAAGAGTTCCTTTCCTCCTGCATCCTCACCAGCATTTGTTGTTTATTTTCTTGGTGATTGCCATTCTGACTGGGGTGAGGTGGAATCTCAGTGTAGTTTTTTTTTTTTTTGCATTACTGGGGGTTGAACTCAGGGCATTGTGCTTGCTAGGCAGGCGCTCTACCACTTGAGCCACACTCTAGCCCCCTCAGTGTAGTTTTGAGTTGCATATCCCTTATGGCTGAGGATGTTGAATATTTCTTATTTCTTAATTATTGGCCATTTGTATTTCTTCATTTGAGAACTATCCATTCAATTTATTTGTCCATTTATGAATTAGATTTTTTTTTGGTGTTTAATTTTTGGAGCTCTTCATATATTCTGTATATTAATCCTTTATCCAATGAATAGCTGGCAGAGATTCCTCCCATTCTGTAGATTGTCTCTTGATTCTAGTAATTGTTTCTTTTTCTGTGAAGAAGTTTTTAAATGTAATACAATCCCATTTGTCAATTCTTGTTCTTATTTCCTGAGCAATTAAGAGTCATATTCAGGTATTGCCAATGCCTATATTTTCAAGGGTCTTACCTATGTATTCCTCTAGTAGTTCCAAACTTTCAGGTTTTATATTTAGATCTTTGATCTGTTTAGAATTAATTTTTGTACAGGGTCAGAGATAGGGGTCTAGTTCAGGCTTCTACATGTAGCTATCCAGTTTTCCCAATATCATTTGTTGATGAGGCTATCTTTTCTCCAGTGTATGTTTTGGGCACCTTTGTTGAAAATCAGACAGCTGTAGCTGGGTGTGTGCAATTAGGTTGACAGTTATTTTCTAGCTTCTTCCCAGTTTGTGTATCTAGGGGCAGAAGCACTTAAGCTTTGGGGTGACCCTAAATGTGTCAGAGAGTTGGAAGAGCAAATACAGCACTGAGTTCTGCATTGTCTGGTGGAGAACTGGTCTCATTGCTTATAGACTGCATCCAGTAGTTCCCCTCCCTGTGGGAAGAAGGAAGGTGAGGAAGTCTTGTGATTCAGAGGGTCTGGACTAGGGGCCCTCAGACTGGCCTGGGAGCTAACACACACTGGGATGCAGTTCTTGGTGGAGGTCCCCAGTGCTTTCAGACTCCACCCAGCAGTTCACCAACTTGTGGAGGGGAGGAAGCTGGGGATATTATATGATTTGGAGGGTTCAGGCTCAGGGACCTCAGACCAGAGTGGCAGTGTGGTGGGCCTCAGTGTTTTCAGACCTGCCCAGGAGTTTACCTCCCTGTTGTGGGGAGGAGGCTATGGAAATCATGCTATTTGGCAGGCCTGGACTCTGGGCCCTCATAATCACCTTACACCAAATGCATGCTGGGATAGAGTTCATGGGAGTAGTTCTCAGTGCTTTCAGGCACTGCCCACAGTTAACCTTGTGGTGTGTGGGGGAGTGGGCTGTTGATTTCACAGGATTCTGAGGGTCTGAGCCACTAACTGATAAGGCACACAGCTAGGAGGCAGGCAATAGGTGCCAAATACTACATCAACCACAGACTTAATGCTTTGTTTCTGCTGCAACCCTCAGGTGATGAGACTTGCTCTTCACCAGGGAGGGCAGCACCTCCAACCACCATGCCCTTTGCTGCTGGAGCTTCCCATTACTTTGCTGCTTGAACTTCTCTTCCAGACGACATCAGACCCTCTCCCTCTCCTTGACCACCTTTCGTGGTTATCTCCCACCCAGACACTGTGGCAGTGTGTCCCAACACTCACTGAGCTATGATTGTTCCTTGTTTTTAAGCCCCCAGAATTATCTCAGTCTCAAACAACATGCCTTCTTTCAAGATGGTGTCTTGCTATAGTCCTGTGAGATAAGGGAAGTGAAGGAATGTCTTTCTTCCCTGAGGCTAGCCTTTCACAATGGAGCAGTCACTGTCTCACCAAATCCCCGCAGTGGGTTTAAGGCTTTGAGGAGGTGTGGGTTTATCCTGCAGGAAGAAGTATCAGTCTGTTGCCAGGGCCACCTGGATTACCTTGTGATTGTATCTTTGGCTTCCTCTTGTGGAGAGCCAGGGATGGGCTTGGAACTGTTGCCTGCTTTTCTCCATGGCCTGTTTCTCCATGCTTTTTTGCTTCTGCCACCTTTTTGTGATTCCTGATGCCCTTCCTGTCTTTCTCTCTTCAGAATATAGTCTCTCCTTTGTTAACTGACACTTCTCATTCCTGGTGTCAAAACGGTGGAAGCTTCTAACTTACATCTTTCTTGTCCTGAAGCCTAGTTTGCTACAAATGTTTAATCAACTTGCAAAGTTCAAGGTTTTCCCTTAAAACTGAAAAAAGTGAAGCACCTATTTGTGAGGAAGGGAAGTACCTTTCCTCTGCCTCTTTGGAGCACTAAGTCCAGAACTCTTCACACCCTGCAACCTGTATTTATAAATAACCGTAAATTCCAGGCATCACTTTTCTTTTTGTGCTAGAGTTTCTTCTGCCAAATCTTAGTATTGTAAAACAGACCTAACAAAGAACCTGAAGAATTTAAAATTTTATTACAAAATTCTACCCATGCTGATGATGTCAGACAGCTTTTTCTTCCTCTGAGTGGCCCCCTGAGACTTCAAGTGGGTTGGACTTGGAGGATTTGGGTACCTTGCCATTGACAAAAAGCCTGGGAGTTGTGTTTGTATGTTTGAAGCTGAAGCTGCATGGCAGGCACTCATGATATCTGCTGTACTAGGGAACTTAGTGATGCTGATTGTGATGGAGCCTTGACTCTGCCTGAGTTTTGTGCTGCATTTCATCTCATTGTGGCTCGCAAGAACGGCTACCCACTGCCTGAGGGCCTGCCTCCAACTCTGCAGCCAGAGTACTTGCAAGCAGGTAAGACGTCATCATACATAGCAGGTAAGACATCATCATACATCATAAACTGTAGACACATTACATGGAGGCCTAATAAGAAACTTTTATTTCTTAAAATGATGTCTAGACACTGGGGAGTCCTTGGTATCTGTATTTACTTTTCTTTAATTTGTATCAGACTTTCACCTAAGTAATAGGTAAGTGTGAATTATCTGTTTTTTTCAATTCTGCTACCCTCTGGATGGATTGGAAACAGTCACCCTTTCATGACAGTTGTGGAAGGGGAAAGTACTGAGCCTCTTTTGATGTAAAATGAACAGAAAGATCTCATAGAGCCAAGTTCCGACTTGGCCTGTTGAGACATATCCCCACATCTATAAGTGGCCTTGAGCAGTGGAATGGAATAGAAATCTATACCCACCTGAAAGGTTAAAAATGATGTGCAATGAAAAATGCAAAGTGCTGTAGTCTTAAATGTGTGCTCAATGAATTTTTGTATGTTTATATACCCATGTAACTGTAAGTAGATAAATAGAACATTCCAGTACACCAGAAGTTGGTATAGAACTTTTTATATTTCTCCTTAATAAAACAGTCACCCCTAAACAACTGTTTTGAACCCTTTGGGTAAGAGTTATGGCTAATCCAACATTTGTATCATTCTTTGGAAGATTGGAAAACCAGTGTCACTTGCCTTTTTCAAAAGCAATGGGCACTAGCCTGCTTTCCATTTTTGAGAGAAATAAAGTTTCCATTGAAGGGGTCCAAAAACAGCTGGCCCTTTCACCTTCCTTATTTCTTAGGGAAGGGTTCTTTAAAAATGAGAGTTTAGTCATGGGTGATTACTGGCAAGATGGAACAGGGTCTAAAGTTACTAGTGTGTAACTTTTGTGGGTAGTTCTGGAAAAGACCTTAGATTATCTTGTTCCCTCCTCATGATGACAGAAGATTCACAGTGTAAATGTCTCATCTAAATCAGTCTTGAGAGGAGGCCTAGGAAGATGGTGGAGTAGAAGTAGCCATCATTTTGACTCCATGAATGAGAAGAGTCAGTTAACAAAAGAGAGACTCTATTCTGAAGAGAAAAAGACAGGAAGGGCACCAGGAATCACAAAAAGGTGGCAGAACAGCAAAAAAGTATGGAGAAACAGAGGCCACAGAGAAAAGCAACAAATAGTTCCAAGCACCATCCCTGGCTCCCCACCAGAGGAAGGAGAAGCCAAAGACACAGTCACAAGGTAAGCCAGGTGGCTCTGGCAACAGACTGATACTTCTTCCTGCAGGATAAACCCACAGCTCCTGAAAGCCTTAAACCCATTGCAGGGATTTGGTGAGACAGTGACTGCTCCATTGTGAAAGGCGAGCCTCAGGGAAGAAAGACATTCCATTGCTCCCCTCATTTGTGAGAGCTAAAGCAAGATTCCATCTTAAGAGAGGGCTTATAGTTTGAGACTGAGATATTCTGGGGGCTTGAAAACAAGGAACAATCATAGCTCAGTGTGTGTTGGGGCACCCTGCCACAGTGTCTGGGTGGGAGATATCCATGAAAGGGAGAGAGAGTCCTATGTGGTCCTGCAGAGAAAGGCATGGTAATCAGAGGCCCTGCCTACTCTGGTGAAGGTGAGTCCCATCACCTGAGGGTCACAGCGAAAGTAAAGCACCAAGCCTATGGTTGCATAGAATCCAGCTTCCTGAGCCTGCCTCCTGCCTGTGTGCTTTTGCTGCCAGGCATATCTGAGGACCCTGAGTGTAGGCCTTCAGAATCATGTGATTTCTGTAGTGTCCTCCCCTCAACCAGGAGGTGAACTGCTAGGCAGAGTTTGAAAGCCCCAAGACCCACCTCTGGGAAGTGCACTCCATCGTGAGTTTGCTGCCAGGTAGGACTGAGGGCCCCAAATCCAGACCCTCTGAATCATGTGATTTCTATAGTTTTCTATACCCCACTAGGAGGTGTATTACTTGATGGGGTCTGTAAGCACTGAAACCAGCCAACAGATTCCCTAGGACCCTCAGTTTTCCCCCTGCCAATGCAGAACTTGGTACTGTGTTTGCTCCCCACACTCTCTGGTGCGTTGAGGGCTCTCCCCTAGGCTTTGATGCTTCCCACCTCTTGGGGACACAAACTGGGTGGCTTGTAGAACAAGTGGGACTCTACCTAGACCACAGGCCAGCACGGGCTCCCAGAAGCTTCTATAGTGAAAGCAGACTAGAAGTTGGTAACTGACTCTTTTACAAGAGATTCCAGCTAGTTTTTCCTTGATCTGAGCAGTGCTGGGGATCAGGTCTAGTGCCCTGAGTAGCAGAGCAAATGCTTGGCTACTGAGCCATTCCCCCAGTCCAATGGTGAGAAATAGCTCCTCAACCCTGCTACTACATTGCCCTGCCTGAACATTGAAATTATTTCAACTGAAAGATTACATGTGTTTAAAACTTCCAGCCAATGACTTGGCCTTAGATGTATGAATGCCAATGCAGAAACACAAGAAATATGAAAAAACAAGGGAATGTGACTCCTACAAAGCTCAAAAACTCCATAATAACAAACACAATATGAAGCAGATGAAATCTCAGACAAAGAATGGTGAATGAAATTAACAAGGACACAAATAAATGCTTGAATCAATTCCAGGAAAACTCAAATAAAGAGATGAATGAAATGAGACAATGCAGGACAGGAAAGAGGAATTCAGTAAAGATATAGAAATTCTTAAAAATCAAATTGAAATTCTGGAAGTGAAAAGTTCAATAAGTTAAATAAAACAACTCAGTTGAAAGTCTCTCCAGAAGACTGGATAAGTTGAAGACAGAATATCAGGGTTTGAAGACAAAGTAGTTGTATTAGAACATACAGGTGAAGATAGAGAAAAAAACCCAAAGAAATATGAACAGTACATGCAAGACACCATTAAAATACTAAACCTATGAATCATGGGCATAGAAGAAGGGGTGTGAGCAAAAGGCCTAGAAAACATATGAAATGACATAACAGAAAACTTCCCAAATGTTGAGAAGGAGATGGTTTTCCAGGTACAGACAAAACCAGAAAAGACCTGCCCACATCATTTTTTGTTAAAACATTAGGCATACAGAACAAGGAAAGAGTATTGAAAGCTGCAAGGGAGATGTGCCAAGTCACCTATAAAGACAAATGCATCAGAATAACAACAGATTTTTCAACAGAAACTTTAAAAGCAAGGAGGGCATAGGATGATGTATTTCAAGCCTGAAAGAAAATAACTGTCAACCTAGATTACTGTGCCCAGCAAAGCTATCCTTCGTAATTGAAGAAGAAATAAAAACCTTGCATGATAAACAAAAACTAAAGGATTCATGACCACTAAACTAGTGCTACAGAACTTTGCTAATAACAGCATCTTTCCACCTATGGCAGGCAGTAACTCTAGCTTGCTGCCCTTCCTTCAAGGTTGGGGAAGACCCTCGTGGGTCCCTAGCTTGCAGTTGAGCAGCATGGTAAACTGTTCTTTGGTGTCTCAGTCTCTCTGTCTCTTTCTTTTCCCCTCTCTCCTACTTCCTTCTTTGCCTTCCCCTTCCCTCTCTCCTGAATTCTGGCTAAGTAGAGCTGATATTTTGGGGGTTATCTTCTTTGCAACTGCATGTCTCCCCATTACGAATGTAGCACATGGACACAGAAGAACCCCTTCTCTTTGGAATGGGACTTCCAAAGGCTTTTGTCTTTCTTATGGCAGTTAACAGATGGCCAGAGGCCCAAGGTCTGCTTCAGGATTATTCAGTTGTATTCAATACTTTCACAGTTTTTGCTTTCCAGCCCTGGGGAGAGTCCTAGCTAACTTTATTTCCCACTCCATACTTTGTTTTCCATTTTGGGGTCTTCATCATGGTCTATTACAAAAGTCACTGTCCTAAGTTTTAGAAATCTGAAGGTCCTAAGTTGAATGATGGGGTGTTTTCCCTTCCCTCACTTCCTTCCTCCCTCCCTCCTTTCCTTCTTTCCTTCCTTCCTTCCCTCCCTCCTCATCAATGTCAGTCATAGTGTATTTTAGGCAAACCTTGAGGGTTTAGCAGTTAATTTTTGAATACTTTATCACCCATGTTTATCTTTGTATGAAGCTCAAGAAAAGCCAGAACATTTTAGACTCTGTAAAATAATGAGTGGTCCTACTCATTTTTGGTTCATTTTTATGGAATCTCATTTAGCTTTTTCTTTAAAACTTAGTTCTTACTTTCCTCAAACATTTTTCAAATTGATCTATATTCAGTCTTGTAAAAAAATATATCCAGTTTTTGGCAAGATTGCTGAAGAGTGTAAATCTTGTTGATAATATCATACATCCAAAACCATAAAGCTTGCTTTTAATTAATAATGAAATAGAAATTGTATTTGATGCACTTTTACTTGTAGTTACAAAAATAATCCCTTTTCCCACATTAGAGGGCAGAGTTGTAAGGATAAATTGGTTTGTTTGGCGGGTTACCCGTGAGCCTTCTGGTATTTTCTCATCTTTGTGACTGAGTGGATTCTGGCAGAAAATTTTCATCATACAGTTTGCTAAAAATGTTGAGTACTTACTATGTGAAAGGCAGTGTGTTATTCTCTGTGGTCTAGGAAGAGAGAACACAAGTTGTGCTGGAGAGTCACTGAGAAGGGGCTTGGAGCATGGGAGTAGAAATTTCAGTGTACAGAATGAGGAACAGAGGCCGAGATGAGGCTGAAAAGGAAGGTAGGGAACAAATTGTGAGCAGTAATACTGACCTATGTTAAGAAGGGAAGTGGCATCTGATTTATTGTTTTAGATAATTGTACTTGTTGCCCTCCAGGGAACTGGGTTTGAAGGGCAAAGATAGAAATTAAGTTAGGGTAGCAGTCTAGTCAGGAGTAGCCAGGACTTGCACTGGGGAGGTGACAGTGGAGATGGAGATGTATAGACACATTGGAGAGAGATTTAGCAGTTAATTGTTGTCATTTTTATTTTTTGAAAGTATTAGCTTTCTGCACAAGACTCTCACATGAGAGGGCATTGATTTTATAGTTGTAGTCAGAGCACTGATGGTTCGACTAGAAAGAGAAGTTGAAATCAAGAGTTTTAGGGCGAATAGCCCTGACTCTGGAATTCCCAACCAGACTAGGCTCAGCCACCCATCCCTATACACCAATAAAAGACTGATGAATGGCAGAGAAAGGGGATTTAATAGAACATGGACACATCAGGTAGACAAAGGGATTCATTGACCCCAAGATCGTCTTCAGGGTACTGACATAAATTTTAGGTTTGAGTAGGGGAAGATTTAATGGCAGGGGTGAGAGGTACGTGTAATTAGGTAGTCATGGCCAAAGATGTGATCCAGTTGATCATTTTCCCAGGATGGTCAGGTGGCATCAGGTCATGTTAAGAAAAAGGCGTTGTTGTCTGAGGGGCAGTTTAGCTTTTGTCACAAGACATTTATTGATCCTGTCCTTCCTGGAGTCCCAAGGTAACTCTGTGTGTGTGTGTGTGTGTGTGTGTGTGTGTGTGTGTGTGTGTGTAGCCTCAGAAGAAAAAAAGGTTAAGGTGGCAGAGGGACAAAATGGAGTTAGTTAAGCCAGTGCCCTCCTTTAGTCTTACATTGGTTGAAAATACTGTTGGGACTGGACTGAGGAATTGTATTTTGTTGAGTTTTTTTCAAGGAAATAGACCACCAGGTATGGTCAGAAAAATCACCAGGGCCTATGGTTTACACCATTTGATATCAGCAAAACTCAGATCAGAGTAAGCAAGTGAACAAATTAAGGTGTTTACATTCAACTCCACGTACTTTACTGGCCAGTACTTTATTGCAGAGCAAAGGTGGTATTTCAATCCGTAATGAGGGTGGGCCAGGTAGATAAGGATTAAAAACAATGCCAATCCATTTTGACACATTAGATTCAACTTTTAAAATCATTAAAATTTGACTTTCTTTCTAATAGTGTGTCTTGACAAATTCGATTAGTAGCTTCTGTTTGTTATCTACCCCAGTCTGTTTTTCCTCTTTAGAACATTGATAAGCTTTTTTTAGCTATTGAGATATGTCATTCTTTTTTTTTGTGGTACTGGAAATTGACTTGCTGGACAAGTACTCTACCACTTGAGCTATATCCCCAGCCTCAAGATATGTCATTCTTAATTATTTTGTGGTAAAGTGAAGCAGAATTTGTTCCTAAGGAATAGCTTGGCTGTAGGTAATTAGCTTATTAAGTAGCATGAGTTTTCTTCCTGCTAAATTCAGTCAGCTACTCCACTAATAGCCACTGTCACTACTGTATGTTAGAAGAGACCCATAACATGATTCTTATTTCCTTATCATAAATCAGCGAGAATTTATGCTTTTATTTTCCTACTAATAAAAGACATAAGTATTTCATAAAGTTTTCTTGGACATACATCATTATAAAATCTTGTTTATATCCAACAATAGCTAAAATGAAGTATTTTGTTAATGTTCATAGTATTCAAACTATCACCATTGTTGCTATGTTTACAAATTATGCTAGTGGCATAGTTAAAACTTTTAACATATTGTGGTAGTGATGACTAATGTGGAAAATGACCATTATGCTACTATATTGTAACATGAGTTACTGAGAGCATGGACCCTTTAGCTGGACTGTTAGGAGTTCAACTCCCTGCCCTTCATTTACCAGCTATATGACCTTACATAAGTTGCTTAGAATTCCCTGTTTCTCAGATTCAGCATGTGTAAAATGGGGATGATAGAAGTACTAGACTATATTTGTAAAGAACTTAAATACTACCTGAACATAATCAGTGTTACAGGTAGTTTATAGGCGCCATCTGACTTTGTTGTTATATTTAACAAGCACAGAAAAGCTGACAATAGCTGGCAATAAATATTCTTATTTGTTTATTTTCTTTCTTTTTAGCTTTCCCTAAGTCCAAGTGGGAGTGTACATTATTTGATTCTTATTCAGAGTCAATGCCAGTAAACCAACAACCCCGTGACTTGAATCGAATGGAGGTAAAAGATCTTCCTATGTTAATAAATAATGATGTGTATAAAAGTAAATTTTAGCTTATGTTCTTTACAAACTTTGGAAAATGAACTTTTATAACAATTTCCCTTCAGACTTGTTGGTAATTACTTTGAGAGTTGGCCTTTCAAATCTAGATACCAGAAATGTCTATAATTATTTTTCTCTTTTCCATAAAACTAGGGTTTGTGAAGTTACTAACATCTTTTGACATTCTAGGGGTGAAACTTAAGTATAGCCAAACTAAGGCAGAAGATGCTAGCCAGGTTTTTTACTTTAACTAAGTTTCAATTCCCTAAAACAATTTAAGTTATACTTCTAGTAGCTGGGCATTAGCAAGGTATAATGAATGAGAACAGTTTCAACAAGAGGTTTGAGAACTATTATCACAGTCTAAGCTTCCTCAGGGTTTTTTAACTTTTATATCAAATGGAGACTGATTTGGATTCCCCAAAGAGACTTTGAGAATTCACATAATGTTGGGCCATTGATGAAATGGCTTAACCGAGTGCTTATCCATCCTTAGCTATAGATTGATAAATAAGAATCATTATGGTTATTGTTGTCATCATCACTATTATTTTCAACATCATCACTATCATGATTACTGTGATGACAAATTTTGACATCTTCCTAAAAGAAAATCTGGAAATGGTGCTAGGGTATAGATTAGTAGTAGAGTACTTGCCTAGCAATTGTGAGGCTCAAGGTTCAATCCCCAGCACCAAAAAATAAAATAAAAATCTGTAAAGTGTTTATTAAAAAATTAAAACAACTTTAATTGGCATATAATATTTATACATATGCATGAGGTAAATATGATAATTTGGTACATGTATGCAATGTTATGATAAAATCAGAGTATGGAACTAAATTGAGTTTATTCACAGACCTGTTAGAATCCTCTGACCCACTTTAGTATCATTACAAGACTATAGCAGTGAAAGGAAGGGTATAGGGACATTTCTTTAATTTCTTGTGCTGTGTGTGATTATTTATCCTCTAACACAGGGGCTTGTGCCTATAGTGTATGTTATCAGTGATATCCTCTGCTTCCCGCCAGGAGCCAATCAAGCCAGCCTCTCTGGTGCTCCCTCTGGTTAGCATCTCTTTACTTCTGTGGTACTCTTCATGTTGTAGCCTTCATGGTGCTTTCCTCAGCAGATTTCTACTCATGGGGAAAAGATATAAAGAAAAGGGATTTCTGGAGGAGTGGTAGATGTGCATTTGAAGAATTTTGGTTTTTAAAATTTCTTTTGTTGCAGAATGCATCTGATTAAGAAGCAGATACAATAGTTGTCTGCTTCCCATGGCCCTTAGTTTACGTTGAAGCTTCTGGGGGTCTCTGAAGAGGTTTTTCTATCAGGCTAGGATGGATACCTCTATAGCTCTCTGACACACTTGCACTGTGTGGTATGTGCATGTGATGCACCCCTGCTTGTGTAAAATTATGAGGTTGTTAGGTAGTTTTCTTTAAAATGTCATAAGTTCTTATTCTTTCTATGTAAACACATCATTCCAATTTACTATGGTATGAGATGGTCTTTGCCCTTCCATTAGAGAAAAATACTACTGTTTTGGAGTAGAAATTATGTTGCTGACTCATGTTGTTTTCCCCATGTAGTCACTTACCATTTGTCTAAAAGTAAGGAAACGCAAATATACAAGTGGCCAGAAGGTGTGTTAGTTACACACACACACACACACACACACACACACACACTCTGATGTGCTTAATGACATTATGTATACTCATCTTTATCCATACTATATGCAACTAGTTTCATATACTTTTGTATACTTTAACTGGTCCTTTGGGAAAAAAAGTACTTAAAATCTCTGCATAGTCTTTTTCCCCCCTGTCTAAATAAGAAAGCAAAAATAACAACAAAAACCTCTTCCTTCCAATCAAATTGCTATTTTTTAAGGAGTTTTTATATAATGAATATAGTAGACAGAATTAAAGGATGAAATAATAAAAGGATGAAAAGGTTAATGGATGACTTGGTCATTTAAGAAGTGCAGGTCATCATAAAGCAAACACTACTGGACATAAAGGGACAGATAGGTCTGGATACAATAATAGTGGGAAATTTTAGTATCCCATTCTCATCTATTGATCATCCAGACAAAAATTAACAAAGAAATTTCAGAGTTAGACAGCACCATAGATTAAATAAATTTACTGCATACCTACAGAATATTGCATCCAACACCTGTAGAAAACCCATTTTCCTCAGCAGCCTATGGAATTTTCTCCAAAATGGATCACATTTTAGGCTATAAAACCAATACAGAAAATTGAAGCAATTTTTTGTGTGTTACCAGATCACAATGGAATGAAACCAGAAATCAACAGCAAGAGAAATTACAGAAAATATACAAACTCATGGAGATTAAACAGTACATTTTTGAACAGTCAGTGGGTGATTCCACAATCTGGAGAAAACTAAAAACACAATTCCTAGAAGCAAATGAAAATACCACTTACCAGAATCTGCAATACAGCAAAGGCAGTTCTAAGAGGGAAGTTTAAAGCTTTGAGTAGAGATAGCAGATAAATAACCTAATGATTCACTTCAAGTTTTTAGAAAAACAAGAAGCCAAACTAAAAATTAGTAGAAAAAAATAATAAAGATCAGAGCTGAAATTAGGAAATTTTCCAGTTATTCATTTGACAGGCGATTAATACTCAGAATATATAAAGAACTAAAAAAATTAAACACCAAAAAGAGCAAATAATCCAATCAATAGATGGACAAATGAACTGAACAGACACTTTTCAAATGAAGAAATACAAATGACCAATAAATACGTGAAAACATGTTAAACAACTTCAGCCATCAGAGAATTGCAAAATAAAACTACCCTGAGATTCCATCTCACCCCAGTTAGAATAACTATCATCAAGAAAACAACAACAAATTTTGGTGAAGATGTGGGGAAAAAGGAACCCTTATACATTCCTATCATTGATGGAATATAACTAGTCTAGCTGCTCTGGAGTATGGTGGTTCCTCAAAAAATTAAAAATAGGACTACCATATGATCTAGCCATACCACTTCTGGCTATATATCAAAAAAGATCAAAGTCAGCTTACCAGAGAGACACCTGCATACCCATGTTTATTGCTGCATCATTCACAATAACCAATTATACAATCAGCCTAGGTGCGTCAATGGATGAATGGATAAAGAAAATGTGGCATATATACTCAGTGGAGTTAAAGGAGAATGAAATTATGTAGTTTGCAGGAAAATGGATGAAACAGGAGATCATTGTATTAAGCAAAATAAGCTAATCTCACAAAGACAAGTATATTTTCTCTCATATATGGCATTTAGGGGAAAAAGGGACATGAAAGTATAGAGGGACTATAAGGTATGTGGAAGGGAAAAGGGGGAAGAATGGAAGATACAGGATACTATGCATGTATGGAAAGGTCATAATGAAAGTCATTACTTTGCACAATTGATATATGCTAACAAAAAGATTCAACAAAAAAGTTTAAGCTGGGCTTGGTGACCCACACTTGTAATCCCAGCACCTGGGGCAGCTGAGGCAGGAAGATTGAAGAGTTCAAGGCCAGCCTGGGCTACAATAGCAAATTCAAGTTATCCTGGACAACATAGTAAGACTGTTTCAAAAAAAAAGTTTAGTCCAAAATTTAATAGCTAATGACTAAGTATTTGATTTTTTTTCTAAACTATTATTCATTATTCTGTCAGTCTTTTAATCTGTTATGAGGAACTGATTGAAATCTTGGTCATGAGAAGTTTGCTTAGGAGTGCATCTTTTTCTAAAGACAGCAGAGCTGTAACACTACTTATTTTCATTAAGAATTATAATTTATAATTGTAAGTATACTCCTTTTAGCAGTGTTTGTTAAATTACTGGATTTCTTTCTTTTTAAAGCAGCTTCATTGAAAAATAATTCACATAACACACCCATTTAAAGTATGCAATGCAGTGTTTTTTAGTGTATTGACAGAGTTGTTCAACCATCACTACAATCTAATTTTGGAACATTTTTATCACCCAAAATAAAAACCCTATACTCATTAGCAGTCATTTGTCATTCCTCCCTCTCTTCCATCTTCTGATAGCCACTAATATGTCTTCTGTTTCTGGATTTGCCTATTCTGAGCATTTCATATAAATGGAACCATATAGTATGTGGTGATTTGTCACTGTCTTCTTTCACTTAATGTAATGTTTTTAAAATTTACTCATGTTACGGTGTGTATCAATGCTTCATTCCTTTTGAATAATAGTCACTGTATGAAGATACCATATTTTGTTTATCTAGGTTGTTTTTTTTGTGGTACTGGGGTTTGAACTCAGGGCCTACACCTTGAACCACTCCACCAGTCTTTTATTGTGTTGCGTGTTTTTGAGATAGGGTCTCTCAAACTATTTGCCCAGGCTGGCTTCGAACTGCAATCCTCCTGATCTCTGCTTCCTGAGTAGGTAGGATTACAGGCGTGAGCCACCAGCACCTGGCATTGTTTATGTTTTTCTTTTTATGGACACTTGAATTGTTTCCTCTTTGGGCTTTTATAAACATGGATTGTGTAAGTTTTTGTGTGGACATATGTTCTTAATTCTCTTTAAGATATACCTACCAGTGAAATTGTTGGATTATATTATAATTATGTTTACCTTTTGAGGAGCCAACAAACTGCTTTCCAAAGTAGCTGTATTATTTTAATTCTCCCACCAGCAATGTTTGAGGGTTCAAGTTTCCCCATATCCTTGCTAACCCTTGTTATTATCTATCTTTATTTTAGCTACCCTGATGGAATGAAGGGGTATCCCATTGCAGTTTTACTTTGAGTTTACTAATGACTAATAATGTTGAGCATTTCTTCATGTGCATGTTAGTCATTTGTGTATCTTCTTTAGTGAAATGTCTATGCAAATCCTGTAGCCATTTTAAAATATGGTTATTTGTCTTTATTAAGTTGTGAGTGGCTCTTACACTTTTGTTGTCATGTGTTAGATAACATTGCCTTATGTAAGATCATGAGGACTTACTCCTATGTTTTCAAATTCTAAGAGTTTTATAGTTTCATATTTGGGTATGTGATCCATTCTGACTTATTTTTTACATATGCTATGAATAAGAGGTCCAACTTTATTCTTTTGTGGTGGATATATAAATGTCCTGGCGCTACTTACTGAAAAGACAAATTTTCAACAATGAATTACCTGTACTCTGGCTGAATATCAGTCACCTGAAAACTGTACAGGTCTATTTCTGGATTCTCAATTCTGTTGCATTTGTATGCTTATGCCAGTAATGCACCATTTTGGTTACTGTAAACTCTGTGCTATGTTTTGATATTCTTTTTCAAGGATATTTTGGCTATTCTGGCCCCCTTATATTTCCCTATGAAGTTTAAGACAACTTTTCAAATTTTTTCCCCAGATCCTCAAACAGCAAAGCAAAAAGCAATCAGAGAACAATTGCATTGAATATGTAGATCAATGTGGAGGGCATTACCATCTTCATAATAAGTCTTACAACTCATGAATGTGAGATTTGTTTAGATTTTAATTCTTCTCAACAAAGTTTTTGGATTTCTTTTTTCTATACTTTCTATTCATAGATCATTTATACTATATACTATATGTTAGTAACTATAGAGAATATGTTACAAGTTTATAAGAGATATATTTATAGTAAGTAGATTTTAAACAATTTAAAAATAACTCTTACTTGATCAGTTTGAGTATTCATCTTATTAGCATAAGTGAGGATGTCCATATGTGAGTTAGGAGAAAATTATGATCTGCTCATCGATAAAATTCTCTTACTTTGCAACATGGAGACTGTTTTAATCAGGATTAGAAATCCTTTGTATGACAGTTGTGGCAAATATCCACATTATGGGGCCACTTGCCACAACCTCTCTGTGCTCATGAAAAAAATACATACATAAAAGTTAGATTGTTGCTTGGTTGATTGGATAGATGCTGTGCAATTCTCTGGCTGAATCTCAGTCTAGATTGAAATTTAATGTAGTCTCCATACCCATGCCTTGATCTGAATTATTATTTCTTTCCTTTGTGTATGAAAAAATTTCAGTGCAAATTAACTCACTAGATGAACCTAAAATAATAAAATAATATTAACTTTCAGGGGTTACGGACGGCAGAAATTTTGCAAGAAAGATAGCATTTTAAACATTTTCTTCATATGTGCACATCACATAACTTCCATTCCAACCTGTTTAATTCACTTACTTTTCTTTTCCAAGAAGACATCTATTAAAGACATGGCTGACTTTCCTGTCGCTGCCCAAGATGTGACTGGTGATGACAAACAAGGTACAAAAAATGAATTTTCTTTTCTTTTTCAAGATATCTTTCTCAGTTTCCTCATGTACTTCTCTTGGCATGGCTGGCTTTTCAAATATATGAGGACATTTCTGAGTTTGTAAACTCATTTGGATAGATTAAATAGTTCAAATTGTCACAAAACTATAGTTCATAAGGTGATAGCAAGAGCTTCGGTGTCCATATCCCCTTTAGTCATTCGCCCTTTAGTCATGGTTGATTTTAGGCTATTCTGACACCTTACCTTGGACTCTGGTCCTATGAGTTGGGAAATGACTAGAAATGGAAAGAATCAAGAAGTTGAGAGCATGATATTTTGTGTTGGTATATGATCTCAGAAAATCAATGTAAATGCATATTTTCACATGGGTCTAATCCATGAGGAAGTTTTCTTTCAGATAGAGCTTTTGTCCCAGGGCTTTATCTGTTTTCTCAGTGTCTTTCTGGGTATGGAGGTGTGACATGGAGCCCAGCTACCATTTGCCTATCTTACTGGGCAGCTGAGAGTCTATGCAGCACAGTGTTCCATGTTAAAGCTACATCAAGCATGGGAATGAGTTCATGTGCGATATCTAGAAGTATAGGAAGGTTCCTCTCCTCCAGCCCCCATACTTATATAGTACTTTTATAATCCACCAAGTCTTTCCTCATACAGTGTCTTACTCAGACCTCACAAAGCTGCTGGTGTTTTTATCACCTAAAATTTAGAGATAAGCAAACCTAAGTTCAGGGAATATGAATCATTTGCTTGTACAAAAAAAGAAAAAGAACTGGGACAAGAACCAAGACTTTGAACTCTCAAACCAGTACTCCATCTGTTACCTCATATTCATTCACTACCCATGAATAAAAGAAGCTTATCTGAAAAACTATTTCAGGTTTTTGAGATCTGCTATTAATTCAGCGTGTATAAGGGTTAAATGTGAAAAATAGCTTTCAATTAAACAACAATAGTTTCATGCTTTCTATTTAAATACTTGCTCAGGAGAGATAGGTGGAACTAGACATTATCTGCAGCTCCATGTACTCTGATCACTCCCCTAACTGTTGGGTCTTAGCTTTGACTGCACAGTGGAATAACCACCAGGCTAGCAGTGAAAATATTAAAGCCAGGATCCACTCCCAGACATTCTCATTCATTGATCTGGCTGTCAGGAATGAAAGGGGGGAAATTCCTGATAACTTCCTGGTAGTACTCCATCTGACCACTAGAGACTTTCTGTTTAGAAAGTTGAAAATAGCCTTTGCTCTCTGTAGGAGAACTTATTTGCATACTCTACTAGGTTTTTAACTGTTCTAGTAATGCTATAGCAACTTCTAGAGGTTTGTAAGACTTGTTTTGGTAAGTGATGAATAGGGAATCTTTGTTTTTAAGGTAACATGCCTCAGAAATAAAAATTACGATTTTTTTTGTTCTTTTCTCCTTTCTCTTTTTTTCTTCCTTAAAAATGACACAAAATGCCACTAGCTTTGAAAAGTACTATCAATGAAGCCTTACCAAATGACCCATCTGAGGATCCAGGTAGGAGAAAACCATTTTAATATACTTTCTATGTAATTATTTCTAATTTACAAAACCAGCAGTTTTGTGACTAGAAGATTGCTACCTCTCTGATAGTGTGTCTGTTTCTTTTTAAATATTTGTCTTGTGTTTTGTCACAAGGAAACCTTTTGGCATTCTGCCCTTTCCTTCTTTTCAGGTATGAGAAGAGAGTGGCTTCTTTTTATGTTCCAAATTTAGGTTTCAGTGAAAGGATCACTTAGTTTGAATTTAGGGTATTGTTAAGAGTATAAAATTGGTGTTGAAATGGTTTCAATAAGTCATTGTGGTTTCTGTGTTGAGTAAGGAATTGATAGGTAGACTAACTGGAAACCCAGAGATGGTATTTTCCATTTCCAAAGCACAAATCTCAAATATTTTTATTATACTTCACCACAAGAAAAGCAAGTATATGTGCTTATACATGGAGTAGATTCCAGGGAGAATAATAAAAGTTGTGTTGCAGTTTCTTGGAGAGGTAGGAATATGTCTGTGGAACAGACACATTGCACAAGCTGGACCTGTATCCTTGATTCCCTCTTGAAGGAGCCATTGTTGAACCAAGATGAACCCTCTTAAAAACCAAATGGTTACAGAGGTCATTACTGTTTGGAGCTCTGGTTATGGGGACATGAAAGAAGTTTCTGCTTTTTATTTTACTATTATTTCTCTTGCATATTTAATAAGTAAATTGTGGGTTTTTTTTTTTTTTGGCTAGCTAGCTATCATCCTGGGCTGATTTGTTTAAAGTTGGAATGGAGGAATGAATCAAATATTGAGGCTTGTGTTGTGCTAAAATATTTCCAAACACTAAGTTCATTCAAGGTTTAAAAGAGAGCAGGGAGGAAAAGGAGGAAGGAGTAGGGGTTGGGAGGAACTGACAAGGAGAGAGAGGTGGGAAAGAGAGGGAGAGAAGAGGAATAAAGAACAGGAATCAGGGCCTGAAAAATCAATAGCTCCCTTGGTGATTCTGGTATGAAGCATATTTTGGCAACTACTACGTTTAGAAAGTGATGATACAAAATAGAAAATTAAGGATGTAGATCATTCATGACTACAAAGGCAGTGGGAATTCCCAAGCCTAATTTTGACTTTTGAAACTCATTTGGATTCATTCTATTTGTGTAGGCCAAACACCTGAGGACTTTTTTTTTTTTTTGCAGCTCTAATTTCTGGTGCTAAAGTGGATGCTTCCCAGTTTTTGTAAACTTCATATCATAGACTTAGTGAAAGGTATTTATATTTGGAGTGTTAAATTGATACTTTTCTAACAGGCTTTGAGGATCCTAACTGTTTTTTTTTCCAGAGATTTTTAAAGTGCTGTCTGGGGCATGAGCTTTAGTTCTCATTTTTAGCATTCCTTGACTTCACCAAATAAAACCTAACAGGTGTGCTGCTGCACACGTAGTATATCTACATTCATTTCACATTGTTCATGGGAGAATGATGTGTGTTTTCTGATTTGTTCTTCCTGCTGCTGCCCCTTTCTGGACATGACAGGATCCCTCATCTCAAACACATTTAGTAACCTCTTCCCTGGGAAATGTTTCAATTCCCCATGAGAGACATAAGAGTCTCAAGGTGGTAATTACAATTCTGGATGACATTCCATTCACTAGGGTCAGTTTTCCTCAGTTCACTTGCAGCATTTTGGAGGGTTAATCTTTAGGCCTGCTCTTTCTTCACATTCCACCTTCCTATGGAAAGATGACATGCCTGGAGTGTTCTAGAGAGTTGTCATTTTTCCTTCACTCCAACTAAATGAGAAGTTATAATCTATCCATTGGCTTCTGCTTGAATTCACAATATAATGTGTCCTTGCCATTTTTTCAGATATTCACATGCACCAAAAGCTGAGTCAGGTTTTCAGGGCTTGGAAGTAGATGGAAGCATTAACTGATATAGTATTGTCCAGCTTTTTCTAGTCTGAAACTTGAGGAGACTTAGCAAGACATGCCTTGGATATATTTTTGCAGGTAGAAGGAGAAGCATCTATCACCCCTGCTTTGCTCTCTACAGTTGGGCAATAATAATGATAATAATGACAAGGAAGGTGATGTGGTAGGTGATATGAGCTGGTACTATGCTATCAGGGAATGGAACATTCCTTGTTAAATATTTTCCATATTCATTTACCCTTTTAATTGCTGAAAATGTATATATTGGTGGAGTCTAAGAGACTTTGTACTTGTTTCATTCCAATTTAATACAGTCAAACACACTGCATAGTGGTCATCTTTGTCTTCATGTCTTTGAGTCATGCTGAGGTGTTTTAGGCCAGTTTATCCTCAGTGTGATCTTTAGACTGCTGTTGGGGTCATAGGGCTGCTCCATTGCCAGCTGTTCCTCCATGGTCTTATTGTACTAGAGCAGTTCTCTCCATCCATTACTTGCTCCCTTCTTTACCACCTTTCCTGTCTTGGAAGCAACTAAATTTAGAAACCAGATTTCCAAACTTGAAATATTAGGAGCCTGTATTTATGCACTGTACAATGGCAGTGTTTTGTGATTCTATAATACATTCCGTTTTCTTAGTACTTTCACTTTCTTCTCTGTCCCTGTGAGAAAGGAACTGCATTTTTATTGTCTTCACTTCATAGGTGAGGAAATTGAGGTTCAGGGAGGTAACAGCTATTTAATGTCATGGCCAGGAGGAGCACCTAGGCCTCAGGATACTTTGCCCGGTCTCTGGTCCTGTCTCTCCACTGCTCATCCACACCCTTACCCCATCTGTCTGTCTGTCTATCTCTCACTAGCAGGGCTCACTCCTCCTTCCACACCCATCCCTGTACCAGCAAAAAGATAATGACAAGTGACAAAGGAATTACAGGTTATCGTGGTCTGGCTTGGGGACCAGTATTTTAACGTGGATAGGACTTCTCCTACCCAAATGTTTTTGAAAACACTGGGGCCAGAGGGAGAGAGGAGACACAAAGCAGTACTGGTTAGTCTGCTCAGAGGCCAGTCCTCAGCTCTGCGGTAAGTCTGGCCACATGTTGGCTTGTTAGATAAAGGTCAGCCTCCTTGGCTGGGAGAGAGGCCCCACTTAGGCTGCCTTTCTTTGCTACTTGGAGTTTGTAAGAGGGAGGGAGGTGTTTTCCCTCTACATCCATATGTGGATGTGTGATATGGATATGAGAGACTCAGTGTCCTAGGGTTTGCATGATCTTGGGGCTATGGTAGAATTTCAGTTGTTTGAAGCTGAAAGATGGCTGTGTTCTCACTCTTGCAAGCCAAAATGCTTAGGTCAGGAGAAATGCCTCTTTCATGCAGCTGACCATGGCTAAGGGCAGTTTGTTAGCATTTGTCAGGATTTTCAGCTTCTCTTTCTGCCCTGCTTATCTAACCCTAGGATTTTAATGATCACCATTAGTTTAGGCTGCTTCATACCAAAGAGGTTGTTTTATCTTTGGAGCTATGTAAAAGGGGTTGAATAATGCAGCAAGACATTTCCTTTGGAAAAATTTGTGAAAACAAAGAAATAAATTATATTATCTTTGTTCCTTATAAGTAGCACTCTTTCATGAAAGTTTGCAATGTTTGCAAGACCTTAGAATAGCTACTGGTTTCTAAAGTTGCCTTCCACTGAGGATTGAAAACATAAAAAGAGGATTTATGTTTTTTGTAAATGTTTCTAATTATTCCTCACAACTTGTGATGGGACAGTAGGCTCCATGGGTGTTGATGGTGAGCAAGGTTAACTTATGATTTAAATTTGATGAGGAAAAGTCATGTGGTTAACAAAATATTTTAATTATGTTATTCCATAATGTTCTCTGTCTGATTTGGTCACAGATACATGGTAAACAAGAATCTTTTCTTATAGGAAAAGCTGTATATCTCCTTCTAACTTACTTGTAGGAGCCCTGCTTCCTGTGGCCATGCTGCTCTAGTAGTATATTTTAAGATACATGTAGCTAGATAGATTTATTTCTAGCCTTCAGGGAAGACTGGTTCAAAAATCTATTATTAGGCTATCGTGAGAGACCAAGAAGCCTGCAAGTGTGAATCCATCATTATATAAAAAGATAATCCCTTGAAAGGGTTGTCTTTTTATCCTGGAATGTCTCCATCAATCAACTTAGATTTGATAATGGCTTCTCAGATAATGTTCTGACAAAATGTAAAATATGCTGGGATTTCTTTCATTTTACTTGAAGCTTTAGCTCAATTGAAATTAGGAAATTGCAAAAATCTAGAAGCCCTCAACTTCTCAACATGGACATCTCTACTTCACATTTACCTGTTGATATGTTCTGTACTAGCCCAGGTGCTACATATAACCCTGTTTAACTGCAGAAATGAAACCCAAGCAAACAACAAATAATCTTTGTTTCAGCAACTCCTAAGGATTCCAACAGTCTCAAAGGAAGACCAAGATCCAGGTAGTGTTTATTTAATTTTTGCTTTAATGCCCTTTGTGCCTTGTGCCTTCCTAGAAATAAAAGACCCAAGCCCCACACCACGATCTTCTTTGTCTTTAGATTTGAAGCTAATGATAATGGGCTGTTTCGCTCCTTGTGAGTGGCCTGCTTAGATCATGCAGTGATGCTAGGAAGCCTTTTAGTCTCTGTGGTTGTTAGTGCTAAATGATGGTGGCTGGTGCTTTCTGGCCTCCTAACAGGAAGTGGGTTGTGTGAGATGACCCAGCTGGGGCAAGATGGTAACTAATGGGGCAACATGACTTTGGAAGAAAGAAAATATGGATAAAAGGTAACTGACAACTGAAATTTTCTATCATGACAAGGTGAAAGTAAGTATAATCTAGAGTAGAGAAAAATACTTATTGATGATTTCAGGGCAATGCCAGGCTTCAGGTAAGCAGTGCTTATGGTTGTTTGAGCCTATCTTAGCACCTCTTCTCAGCTTCACATTTTAAAAATAGTCTTCACTGGAAGAGGGAGAACCAGTAAGATAGTGCTGTGTTTGACATCATACTCAGAAGAGCGGAGTAGAGGAGAAATACGGAAACGCTAAAAGAGCTAATCTTATCAAAGAGTAGAAATGGTATTGAGCCCACTTTTCAGCAGTAGAACTGCACTATAAGATAGATTACTATGTGTGTGTTTTCTGAGTTTTGCTTTGATTCTTAGTGACTTTTTTCCTCCTTTGGCGCCAAGACACATTCCTGAAAAAGCAAATTTAAGCCTGATTATATTTTATATTCTTGAAATACCTCATTGTAAATCAAAGAGTTATGTCTGCATTTGCTAAATAGAGGTTTTGGTGGTCCTGGGGTTTGAACCCAAGGCCTTGTGCTTGCTAGGCAGGCACTCTACCTCTTGAGCCATGTCCCCATCTCCCAAACTGAAGTTGTGTTTCCTTATTTATGAAAGGTACAGATACTTATATTCATATATTTTCAAAAATAATAGAATAATTCATTTTGGTAGGAAGAAAAGATATAGTCACCCTCTCTGTGGTGACCACATTTACTCACTCTTTTTAAAAAAGGATAAATAGATATTTTACAAATTAGTTTATATTAGCATTGGAATATGGAAATAGTAATATTTATCTGCTTTCACAATAGGAAAAACCTTCCCCGAATTGCAGAAATTTGCTTATGTATACTGTGTTAGCTGTAAATTGAACTTCACAATTTTAGTTTCTGCTGACTTCTTCTCTCCCCCAAAGTGAGTGAAATTATAAAATTTCATAGGCTCCATTAATAATGTGTCTGGCTAAATTTTATAGATTATTCTTTTAGAGATTGGCCTCCTGGTCTAATTTGGATGATTTTCAAAATTTCCAACTGGGTCTTTACTGAGACTAAGAATATCCAGCAATTTTAATATTTCTCTTTCTCTCTCTCTCTTGCTGGGGTTTGAACTCAGGGTCTTGCGCTTGTGAGGCAGATGCTCTACCACTTGAATGATACCCCAGCCCTTTTTGCTTTAGTTATTTACGCCCATGCTGGCCTGGACCAGGATCCTCCTCTGTTTATGCTTCCTGCGTAGCTGGGGTGACATGTGCATGTCACTGCATCCAGCTTTTTATTGGTTGACAAGGGGTCTCACTAACTGTTTGCCTGGGCTGGCCTTGAACTGCAGTCCTCCTGATCTCTGCCTCCTGAGTAGCTGGGACTATAGGAGGGAGCCTCCAGGCCCAGCTTTAGTTATCCCTTTTCAAGTAATAAGGATCTGTAGAAATGTAAGGGAAGGAGGGGAAAAATCATCATTCTAATATTACTGCATTCGTCTTTTTGTCATTTCCCTGAACATATATCTTTTAACTGATTGCAGTCGCAGTTATACAGTCGAATTTATTTGATATTTAGTACCTTTCCATATGAAAACATAAACACACAGGTTATATATGTAAATGAAGTTTGTGGTATGGGATAGTGTACCCTGCTAGTTCCTGCCTGTCTTTGCTTTGTCTGTTTTGCCAGTTATGGTACGAAGACCACCCTAGAGCATGCCATGTGCCATGTGGTGGCTTTGTTAAAGATTACCTTTCAAGACAGGCAAAATCTTTGACTACCAAAAAGAAACCTTGAGAAACTTACTAAAAAAAATTAAAACTTGCTATGTCAAAAACAGTTCCACCAAGGACCGAAAGGGCCTAATAGTTACTCAGAGATTCTAATTTCCTAAGTGGCGCTCTGATAGCTAAATGCAGTGGACAGTTTCCTGAGGTCAATTTGTCTCTAGGACACATTTCTGACTCAGAGGTCATTTTGTGCTTTGACGTGAAGTTAGCTGAGAAACTGAATAGAAGAGACATACACATCCATTTCTTACATGCTTTTTCTGATTGTATGGAGTTGAACTAATTTAGAAAATAAATCAATTTCCAATAAATATTCTAGCTGCTACTGCCAAAGGATTTCTTCTGTGGCTCATAGGCAGTATAAGAACATTTAAAGAATTGAATCTAGAAACAGTGTGAGAAGTTTGAGTTGAACTATGTAACTTTCTAGCTTTGTGAACTTTGATAAGCTATTTAGCTCCTTTTTTTAAAATGTCATTATTGGAGTTACATTGTCAGCAGATGCCTACTTCTCTTTGCCTTGCTACATTTTAAACAAGAAGGTTCAGATGAGGCTTTTGCTTTGTGAATTTCTACAAACCCTTATTTCTCAGAGCAATACAAGCTAAACCCCTTACCCTGATTGATGTGTTTTCTTTTCCTTTAAACATTTATTTCTTAGTTGCAGTTTATTCATCCTAATTCCATATGTGCCTGTCATCACATTTGCGAGTAAACAGGAGATAAGTTTTACAATCAGTTAGTACCATGAAGCCCTTCTATTAAAACATGGAAGTACCTAAAGCTAAAGGACTTACATCTTATTCTTATTAATAGCTCTAATAGAAACCAATTTGAATATGCACAAAACTTTTTTTGGGGAGGGGGGAATATTTAGGCCTGTGGCACAAGAAAGATCCCAAGCTGGGTGTGGTGGTGCACACCTGCCATCCTAGCAGTTGGGAGGCTGAGGCAAGAGGAGCACAAGTTCAAGACCAGCCTGGGCTACATAGGCCCAAAAAATAGAGAAAGCCAGAGATTTTTTTCCCATTTCATGGTTGGATTTTGATATTTATTGTACATAGTGACATTCAAAGGATAATAGAATTTATGGCTACTTTTGGCTGCTCATCAGTCCTCTGCAGTCACTTCGACTTTGGGATATTTTCTGTTGCAACCCAACTTCAGGGAATAAAGCTTTGCTATTTCCCTTCTGATCTTCCTTATTTTGCTGCAGATCTTACTCTAGCACCTCCATAGAAGAGGCCATGAAAAGGGGCGAGGACCCTCCCACCCCGCCACCGCGGCCACAGAAAACCCATTCCAGAGCCTCCTCCTTGGATCTGAATAAAGTCTTCCAGCCCAGTGTGCCAGGTGAAGTGCTCCTTTGCTCCCAGCCCCTCTCTTTCCTGTTGGAGCCAGTGAGTGTGTATGCCACAAAGGCTTCTGTAAGTCGGGGAAAGAGCAGACCTGCCTGGCAACTTCCCTTCCCATGATGGACTTCATGTTGTTGTGGTATTCTTGGGCAGGAAAGCAGTCCCAGACAGATACATAGCATATGGGTCTGGGGCCTTGCCCACACTTGCTGTTGATCAAAAATTATGAAATTCTCTACCAAGGGGATAAAAATGGTTCCCACCCCAGGTAGCCTGCTGTGTGCTTGGCTGGGGTCTTGTTTTCTGCATCATGGTAATTTGTAAACAAGATCACTCTCTGTTGTTTTTTAAGATACTTGTGTGTTTCTTCTGAGCAAGAAGATCTTAGTGATCAGCATAGGTTAGACCCCCTCTCCTACAGTTTATCCTCGTGGAGAAGGTCCTATGTCCCATAGGGTTTATGCAAAGGGACTCCAAATTGGACTGATGGGTGGTTGGGAGAGCTGGATGACCAGGGCCTCTTCAGATGGGCTGCTCTGGGGCTTCAGGGAATGGGACTTTGTAGAGCCACCAGCTGTGTAGCTGGGATGGAGGTGGTAGAAGTCAGAAGCCTATCTGTTCCTCTGGCTTCCTAGGAGTGATGTGGGACATGTCCTCCTAGGGAACCTAAGGACAGAGGTGACAGGCATGCCTTTGCTTCAGTGCAGGTGATAGGATATAGCACTGTTCAGAGTGTTACTTTAGGAGCAGCAAGGGCCTTTCCATTGACTCATGCTGGCCAGCTATAAATACAATTATTTCCTGAAAGTTTTTCTTTATCTATGTACATTTTAAATCAAGCCAGCCTCAGATGCTAGTGATTACAGATTTTTATCTTTTCTACTAAAGCAACAAAAGACTCTCATTCACTCACATATTACCATGACCTCTGTGACCTGGCAGAGCTCGGTACTTTATTTGTTCTAATAAAGTACTCTTCTCACAGTAAGGTTAGATTGTTTTCTCATTATAGTAGAATCTGAAACTCTCTATGAAATTTGATTTTCTGCAATGAACTCATCAGACAAAAATGTCTCTTAAATTTCCCTGTGTTCTTTGATCCAAATTCTGGCATAATTTCATAGTAACTGGTATTTAGGATGGGAGTAGCCATGGGTGATGATGTTATAAAAATTTCACATGGTTGGTGGCTTATGACCTGGAAGATTTTCTATGGATGCAGGAAGATTAAAACAATCTGGGCAGCTATCTCAGAACTTTTCCCTGCATGGACGGAAGCTGGAAATGTACACACACCTCTCAGGCTGTGTGACTCAGGGAGGAGATACCAGTTGTGTTTGAGAATTTACATGCTGTGGCTTTTACACCGTTGCATCATACAGTGGAAAAGACAAAACTGTATTTGGAGTTTAGCTCAGCTGCTTTTTAATTATTTGATTTCCAGCAAGTGGCTTAATTATTTTGTACTTCAGATTCCTCATGTGCAAAACTGGGGCACTACTTACTCCATGAAGTTGTAAAGTTTTGGTGAGATAATAAACATAACACAAATGTCACCCTGTTTAGCCCATAGACCTCAATATGCAACTGAGGCCCATATTCTCATGGCCTGAGTATACTAGGAATTGAATGTTCCCAGGAGCAGCCCTTGACTGATGAGGATAAAGCCCCCGACTCCCTTGACCCCAGTGGACAAATCTGTGATTCTTTCTAGAAGATTCTTCAGAAGACTGGATGACAGAACCCAGCTTGCTGTGTGTCAATAGTACCTCATTTATTAACACACCTTTTTTGTCTGTCTCCCTCCCTTTCTTCCTGTCACACTTCCCCATTCCCAAATAAAATAGCTGTTTTCCAAGTCCTTGTCTCAGGCTGTTTTAGGGAAAACCTGAATTTAAACAATGTTCTTTGACATCTCCAATGATGATATGATGATATGATGAAAAGTATTTTGGTTTGATAGATGTCCTGGTGAAGACCCTTGTGTCATATCTAGATACAAATAAGATTTAGCCAAAAATAGCTTGGCCTGTAACATCTGTATTCATAGCCTAATTCAACTATATTTTCAGAACATGTTTATACAAATGAACTTCTAATGAGAAGTTTCAATTTATTGCATGAAGAGTAGAATGTTTCTGCAGTATGAAAAGCAGGTGGCGTTGAATGAATTTATTTTTTATGGTTATTCTCACAGGAAAGCACAAGAGTCTATCTAAATTATATAGAATTTTAGTGTATCACATATTGCTGGAAATTATTACAATTCTGAAAAATTAGAAATGCAGGTAGTACAGTCTAAACCTACCAGAAGAGTCCATCTATGAGAACCATGGTGCACCTATAGTAACCCCTTTGATACACTTGGTTTTATGTATCACTTTAGGCAAACAGGATCACACTACACTTGTTCTGTATCCTGACCTTTCACATTAACTTTCTATTTCATCCTACAGAACTGCATCTTTCTTTAAATGCGTGTATGAGATGCATGTACCATAATTGATTATGTGTTGATGGAGATTTCTCTCGCCCTCCTTTTTTCCATGTTTTCTGCTCAAACTCACCACCACCATCCCCTGCACTTCCCAGTTGTTCTTTTCACTCTTTTCTTACCCTTGCAGGTGTCTCTCTCTTCCACCTCATGTCTTCCTCACACCCTTCTGCATCTCCTTTCTTCTTCTCCTTCTCCCATTCCTCTCTGCTTCTCTGTTTGCCCCTTCTCTTTTCCCCTAATAGGCATGAACCTTCCTTGCTCCCCAACAACCTCACTTGTTCTTATGTTGTAAATAAGGCAGAGTTAGCAATGATTTCATATTTGTTATCTTTGTTTCCTCATTTAATTATTTTCTTGGAGTAATTCCTACATGTTGGAGTTGTAGCATGTATGTTGCCAGACTATGGTAGAAAACCCTGTCAACTTACCCTGCTACTAACATTGTCTGAAAGTGTTTCTTCATACTCTCATCATCATCGTTAATGTTCATCCATTCAGTTATTACTTATGTGAAAGGCAAAAATTTGCATTTCTCTGATTTCTTGTATGACTAAGCATCTTTTCATAACATTATCAGTCCTTATTTTTCCTCTTTTATGAATTATATGCTCATAAGTCTCAGCCAGTTTCGATTGCTACAGCTTTCTCTTTGTCTGATCACAGATACCACTTGTTTCTTTTTCATTTTGCCCAAGAAGTTCTGAATTTCCTTATCCTAGGCACTTGAGAATGTCAGGCTGGCTATGGGGAAGGTAATATAACTTGTTGCTCTTCTGGTACTTTTTTCCTCTAGTCCCCCATCTGCCAACTGTATCACTTCAGAGAGACTACCTGGCCTTCCCTGTTTATAACAACAGAGGAATAAGGGAAGGGAAAGGGAAGATAATGTGAGATGAAGCAAGATGTGGACTTGAGTTGAAAGGAAAGATAAGCTGAAGCCCATGTTTAAAAAATGGGACTCATAAGGTGGAAAAAAGAAACAGTGAATGAAGCTGAGTGCCGAAGCAGAGGGGCCTAAAGTGGAAGGATAGTGTGGAGGGCAGATAGGATGGAGAGAAGATGCAAAGAAGCCAGAGTATGAGGAAAAGGAATGAAAGACAAGATAGTTGTTAAATGGGAGTGAAGATGTTTGTATACAATAAGGAGCAATAAGTAGAATAAAAGGCTGTAGAACCAAAGGAAGGAGAGTCCACAGACTTCTAGTATAGGATTTAAAAAGAATAGCTTTGGAGTGGGTAGTATTAATGCTTTCAAATTTATGAGAAGAGATAACATATGGGGAAGAAGAATAAAGGGCTGATTTAAAATGTAAATCTATAAATATGAGCAAGCCAACTTTGGGAATACAGGACCGTTGGTGTCAACTTCCATATCTGTAAAGTGCATGGGTATGTGATTTACAGGAGCCTAGACTATCCCATGACTCTAGGGGCAGGCATCAAACCTAAAGTATGGGCTTTCATTGAGAGAAATTGATATCTTATCGCTGTGTAATAGGGAAATGGTAATTTGTAACAGCTGATGCAGGTCTTTGGAGCCATCTCCTCAAAGTCCTACATAGGTGCTATGGGTGAGATATGACAAAATGTGCAAGGAAATCTAAGTCAGGGTGACTTAGACTATAAAACCTAGAAATAGTCAAGCCTGGGACTTGTTCAGTGATGCTTAGATTTTATAGGTCTAGTCTTTTGGCCAAGAAATATCTTTTATTATTGAAATTTCTGCAAGAAAAATCACACTATGAAGCCAGTCCTTTCTAGACTATAACTCCCTTTTCCTCATTGAAACAGTTATTCTCATAAATGATTTTGTTCATAGACTGATTTTTTTTCTCTTTCAGTGGATGGAAAGTCTCCTTCCACTCTTTACTCTGACCTGCCTCTTCCAAAGCCATGTCTAAGATTGCAGCTCAAAGGTTCCATGGTGATGGTGAAGAGCCTTAGCTTGGCCTCTGTCATGGCATCCCTATCTCTTCCTGGTTATTGAGCATATGGCGGAAGGGACAGGGATTATGTGAGGAGACATGGCCATTTCTTTAAAACTTCAAATCAGGAACTTTCTTCACTACTGCCACTTCCACCAAATCAAATGGAGGAAACCTATCCCACAAATATATCTAGCTGGTGGGCAAGGCAGCCATTTCTCAATGGCACTCTCCTTTCTTTTAAAGAGGAGAGTATATGTTGACGGACAGCTCTTTCTACCACACCCTGTGTGGCCAAACATTGAGATCCACATGTTAAAACCATTGTGATGGCTGAAGAAATGTCCATGGTAGTAGCTTCCTTTGATTAGCTAGTCTCCTATCTTTGCTTTTAGACATACTGATAAAAAAAATTCACTCCATGTTAAGAAATAGCGCATTCCATACTATGGAATCTTATGAAACCGTTCAAAGGAATAATGTACGTGTACTACTTGGAAATCTAGCTGAGATAAATTAAGTGAAAAAGATAAAGTGCAGAATATGTGTATTTGCAAATATAAAGACAGATTCAGGAGAATGCTTAAGAAACTGGTAATGATGTTTGCTTCTGGGGAAAGGATCTGTGTATCTGGGGACAGAATTGAGAGACAGACTGACTTTTCATTGAATACCTGCTGTATCTTTTAAATTTTGCCGTCATGTACAAATATTACCTATTAAAAAATTTCCTTAAGAAACTGGTAATGATGTTTGCTTCTGGGAGAAAGGATCTGTATATCTGGGGACAGAACTGAGACAGAGTGACTTTTTCATTGAATACCTGCTGTATCTTTTAAATTTTGCCTCATGTACAAATATTACTATTAAAAAATTTCCTTTTCACGCCTTAGCTGCAACAAGTACATGAAGGTCCTCAAGATATTTTTCCTGGCTGATTTACTTATCTCAAACTTGCCTACCATTCTGTATCCAGGGTATCTTTATGACCATCTGCTACCACCTCCTGGAATGCAACTGAAATGACAGAAAGCATCCCAGAGCATTTTCAGGCTCTGTATGTTCTCGAATTACTTTTCAGTGCTTCTCCAACACAAAGGAATTGTTTCGAAGGACTTCCAATGCCTCCTATGTGAGATGTATAGTTGGGTAAAACGATATAGTAAGGGTTCTGGCTTCATTTAGAAACTGAGTGTGTTTATTGAGTGGTGAACTGAGAGGAGTCTGGTCTGCATTTTCTACAAATGACTTTTTCTCTCTGTAACTTGAGAAATAAGTAAACTCCTTGGGAGTAAGAGATGGTCTCACAACCAACTCTACCTTTCAGGTTCTCTAAAGGAGAAATTTGGCCACACAGACAGTTCTGCCTTATAGATTTCCTTGTGTATTATTTTAGTGAGAGCTAGGTTACCTTTTGAAATTTAGTAGGATTAAAAATTTTAGTAGGATTATAGGATTCCTGTGCCACATCCAAACTTTGGTTTCCACAATATACAGCTGGTCCAGGTAGTTTTATTTTATAAAGGAATGCCTTACCGAGATATAATCTGCATTCTATAAAACTCACCCTTTAAAACGAGTATAATTAAGCCGGCCCTGGTGACTCAGCCTGTAATCCTAGCTACTCAGGAGGCAAAGATCAGGAGGATTGTGTTCAAAGCCAGTCCTGGCAAGTAGTTTGCAAGACCCTAACTCAAAAAAAACCCTTCACAAAAAAGGGCTGATGGAGTGACTCAAGGTGTAGGCCCTGAAATCAAACCCCAGTACCACAAAAAAAAAAGTATATAATTCAGTGGCTTTAATGTATTCATGGTATTATATAACCATCAAAACTGTGTAATTTCAATACCCCAAAAAGAAAGCCTGTATCCATTAGTAGTCATTGTCATTCCATTACCATGTCACTAGCAATTTGTGAGGATTATAGTCTCTTCACATTCTTGAAAATACTCATTGTCTTTTTGTCTCAGCTATCCCGATGTGTATGAATTGATATTGTTATTGTGCTGTTGATTTGCGTTTTCTCCCATCCAAGTACTAACCAGGCCCCACCCTGCTTAGCTCTGAGATAGAAGAGATCAGGTGCATTCAGGGTGGTGTGGCCATAGAATGATTTGCATTTTCTAATGACTAACGATGTGAAACATCTCTTCCATTTGCTTGCTGGCCATATTTATATCATGTTTGGATATTTTTACCCATTTTAAAATCTTTACCCATTTTAAAATTGAGATATTGCCTTTTTATTACATATTCTGGATACAAGTTCCTTTTCAGATATTTGATTTATAAATATTCCTTCTCATTCCATTGGTTGTCCCTTTGCCTTTTTTGTGGTACTGGGGTTTAAACTCAGGGCCTGGTGCTTACTAGGCAGGTGCTGTATCACTTGAGCTATACCTCCAGCCCTTTTTGCTTTAGTTATTTTTCAGATTGCTTCTTATACTTTTTGCCTGGGCTAGTCTAGAACCATGATCCTTCTATTTAATGCTTCTTGCACATCTGGGATTACAGGTGTGAGCCACCAAACCTGACTTGTTCTCTTCTTTATTTTATTTATTTATTTTTGTTGTTCTGGGGTGTGAACTCAGGGTGTTGTGCTTGCTAGACTAGCATTCTACCACTTGAGCTGCACCCCCAGCTCTTCTTGCTTTAGTTGTTTTTTGGGATAGGATCTTGCATTTTTTTGCCTGGGCTTCAATCCTCTTATTTATACCTCCTTGTGTAGCTGGATGACAGGCATGTGCCATCATGCTGAGTTTATTGATTGACATAAACTTGCTATCTTTTTGCTGTACTTATAGTGCCTTGAACCTTGATGCTCCTGATCTCCACCTCCCGGGTAGCTAGAATTACAGGTATGAACTACTGTACCCATCCCAGTTTGCTTTTTGAGATAAGATCTTGCTAGCTGTTTTGCTTTGGCTGGCCTTGACTTAGATCCTCTTCCTTCCAAGTAGCTTGAGATTATAGGTGTGAACCACCCTGGCTGGCCCTCCTTTTACCTTTTTGATGGTGTCCTTTGAATCATAAAACATTTTAATTTTGATAAGAATCAATTACCTATTTTTCTTTTATCACTTGTGGTTTTGGTATCATATTTAAGAACTTGCCTAGCTCAAGGTTATGAACATTTGCTTCTCTTCTAAAAATTTGCATAGTTTAGGATTTACATTTAGATCAAAGTCTATTTTGAGTTAGTTTTTGTATATGAGGTGAGGTAGAAGTTCATTTATATTTTTATGCATGTGGATATCCAGTCATCTTAGTATCACTTATTGAAGACTCTTAATTCCTCACTTAATTTTTTTGTTACTGTTGTTACATCAATTGACTATGAATGTAAAGGCTTATTTCTGGACTCTCAGTTATATTCCATTGATTTGTATGTCTGTCCTTCTGCCAATACCACAGTGTCTTGATACTTGCAGATTTGTAGTAAGTTTTCAAATCAGGAAGTATGAGTTTGCCTACATCATGCTTTTTCAAGATTGTTTTGGTTATTCTGATTCTCTTATATTTCCATATGAAATTTAGGATCAGATAGCAATTTTCTGCAAAAAAAAAAAAGATCCAACTGGATTTTGGTAGAGATTACATTGAATCTGTAGATCAAGTTTGGTTAGTATTGCTATCTTAAAAATATTATTTCTTCCAGTCTCCAAACACAGAGTGACTTTCATTTATGTAGGTCTTTTAATTTCTTTTAACAGTGTTTTATAGTTTTTAGTGTACAAATTTTGTACTTATTTTGTTAAATTTATTCCTAGGAGTTTTATTCTTGATATTATTCTAAAGGGATTTAAAAATGATTTTCACCATCATCACTACTAGTATATAGAAATACAGTTGTTTTGCATAATGATCTTATATTTTAAACCTTGTTGAACTTGTCTCTTAGTTGTCTGGACATATTTATCCTTAACTTGCATAATAAGAGAACATGCTCGTTACTGGACTTCTAACAGCTTAACTAATCCATAACTATTCACAATTAAGGACGAAATCACTTTTACTGTTTGGAAGACATAGTCTGGTCATTATTAAATGCTCAAATCCAGTTTTTCCTTTTTTCTTCTTTGTCCTGTGTGAAACCAATTGATCAATTGCATTTATCAAGTAGTATATACCATATTAGTATTTGTATCTACAAAATGGCCACTATATCCTAAGTCCAGCTTTCCTATTTGCAAGACTTGATTCTGGGCTTTCTACTTTATTATCACCTGCCCCTGGATATAATAGTGATAATGGGTGATAAGACTTTTGAGTATTACTTTGGCAGAGGACATATTTAGGGACTTTATATGCATTATATCCATTCCTCACAATAACCCTGTGAGATATGTGCTGTTTTATCCCTATTTTATTGATGCAGAAACAAGTGCAAAAGTTAGTTTGCCCAGTGTCATGGAGCTAGTGCTATTGAAACTAGGGTTTTAGACTATGCAGTCTGTGCTGGAGCCCATGTTCTGCAACCTCAAAAAGAGGCAGGATTTCTCCTGTCTGTTACTCCACTTGCCTCTCCCACCTCATCTATTTGATCAGATATTAAGTAGTATCTGTTCAGCTGCCTCTATTGGAGGTTGAGGTTTAGCACAGAGCAGGAGACATCATGCTATTATCTCTTGGGTCATAGGCCTCACCAACTTCACCAGCCAGTTGAGGACTAGGACTCACTTTCAGACTTTGGCAATTGGCTGCCGCTGCAGTCACTTGTCTTTGATGGGCAGGAGAGTACCTTTTAGCTTTCCAGATCTGGATCTGTGCTTTCAAAGCCTGATCTTGTTGTGGTAGAGGGTCTGTTCTTAGTAACACAATCAGCATTTCCATTGACAGAGCACTAATGTGTCATTTTGAGCTTTTCATTAGTTGAAAGATAAGATAGGTATAGACTTGAAGTCTAGAAGCTCATTTAAACATAGAGAAGTAATTTGGCATTGACCTAGATGAACGTTTTCTGAGGTAAGAATTTAGTGCAGGTTATTTTCCTAGCCTGTCTGTGTCAGTGTTCAGCATGAGAGATAGTTAATAGCAGTCTTGGTCTTGGCCCAAGGTGAGGTTGCAGCGTAGTAGCTACTGTTGGCTTCCTCTTTCCTTTTTCTGTGCCTATTTCTAGTTAGAGGTTTTTTTCTTTTCCAATAAGTTATGTGAAAGTTTCTGTGCTAACAAAGTGCTATGGTTTGTGCCTGTAGAAGGTAAAGCCTACAGAAGCTTTACCAAGCCTTGTGAAGATGAGGGTGCAGCCATCTTCACTTATCCTGCTGTTGGATAAGGTGCATTCTCTTTCATTTCTACCCTCTGGTTTTATAGCTATTTCTGGCTAGGGTGAGTGTTTTTTGAGGGTGTGTAGGAGAAGGGTAGACTAGAGTCACTGAAATAGCAGGACTAGTTATAATGATAGTTCTTGTTAAAATGCATATAAAACTCATTTAAGTATATAGACACACAAATACCTTCTTGTATGTAAAATTCAAATATTACAGATGTGTTTTTTGATCCCATCCCCATCAAGCCTGATGGACTCCCCTAGGCAGTATCTCACTTATGAATGTATATATCTATATCTATAAAGTCAACTATGTATTTTTTGTCTTTAAAATAATTGAGATCACATTATGAATGTTTTCTTCATTTTTTACTACATTATTCATATGTCAGTACTGATGGTTTGTCTTTTATGTATGTTCAGTACTCTGGCTACTTTATTAAAAACTGTATATGGAAAATCAAATGTAGTGAACCCCCTCCCAGATTATTTTGATGTAAATCCTAAGTATGCAAACTCTATTTATATCACTAGTAGATAAAGCTTTTAAGAAATTAATCCTGTATCATTATCATACATAAGAAAATTAGCAGTAGTTCCTTAATATCATCTAATACCTAGTCAGTGTGCAGACTTCCTGAGTTGTCTCAAGTATGTCTTTTATAATGGCTTATTCAAATCAGGTTTCAAATCAGGGCTACATGTGCATTAGCTTGTTTGATATCCTGTCTCTTGTAAGTTGGTGGTTCTCCTTCTGTCTTTTCTCTGCCTTTATGTTCATTCATTCATCCATTTGTGTACCTACTCATTCACAAAGAATATCATTCATCCTGTAGACTTTTCCATTTTTAGTATTTGACAGTTGTTTTCTATCTACTGTATTTCCTGTGAAGTAGTAGGTATATCTAAGCTTGATTAGAATCAGATTAGATGTTTGACAAGAATACTTCCTAGTGATGCTCTGTATTTTCTCTTGCATCACATTAGGGGATTCCTGATGTTTAATGCCTTTCTTTTTGAGTTGTTTGTTTGATTAGTGAGTTCATGTAGCATTAGCCTAATCCTTGCATTGTGATAGAGATCTCCTACAAGTTTTCAATTAATGGTCTGATCAACTCTTGATCATCAGGCCTACATACAGTATGTGTTGGCAAATATTTAACAATTAGTCATTTGCCAATTTCAACAGTGTAAATACTCTTTCCATGGCTAATTTACCTCCTACTGATGTTGTCACTGAATATGGAAGCAGGGAAAAGATGCACACCCTTGATGCTCACAAGGGTGTGAGCTGTCTAGCAAGCAGCGCTTAGATCCATTATTGCATTGGTCATTGTAAAACAGTCGTGCTCTATTTCTTTGACCCTTATTAATTGGGGCTATGGTTCATTTCACCATTTTCCTATTGTTGGGCATCAAGCGATGAGCCACT